CAGTCGTACTTTAGTTACCATCTGCCGTTGGTTGTGTCCATGGAGTATGTGTAAATTATTGTAATCATCAGTAAATTGTAAGTAAATGTGTAAATTGTTATTTGTAAATTGTAGGTAAATGTGTAAATTATTCTCACCCTCAATTTGCTGGACTGTCTCTCTACCGGCCGGCAGGCCAGTTTTTTTAACGTTAACTCGAAAATCGTTCGAAATTTTAGGGAAATAGTTCAACTAACCGAAAAGAAATAAGTAATTTCCGTTTGTTTCTGAATTTTCGTTAATGTTAGGTTTGCACACCCTGCTCGCCACCGGGGGATGACTGAAGCAGCGCGTAGAAACTCCAGCTGCCGGGCTGATACCATCATCGTGCGAGCTGCGCGGAGCCGTATTTTGCAAACGTTCAAACACACGAACTGGAGGGTCTTCAGCACTGAAACCTTCTCTCCCTTACTCGTAATCATTGTCTTCGTGGCTTAGGAGGAAATAAAATATGGGTGGTATGAGAAATTTAATGTCCGTTCTTTCTAAAGTTTTGTTCTTACCAAATAAAGTAAAGCTGCGACACACCTCCTAAGCCACGTAGGAATAAATTATGAGTGCGATACAAAAGGTTTCAGTGCTGAAGACCCTCCCGTTTGTTCGTTTGAACGTTTGCAAGAGCCGAGACGATGATGGTATCACCCCGCAGCGGGAGTTTCTACCCGCTGACTGAAGCTACTTACTACGACTACGTACTCACAGTGTATTTTTTGGACATGATGTGATTCAGAAACACATTAAAGGTGAAATCGTAACGAATTTAGAAAGTGATAACACGGCAATCCCCCAAAAATCTTCGGCAATCCAATGCAATCTTTAATTTTGGTGTACAATCCCCGGCAATCTTCAAAACGTCTCGGAAATCTGAGGCAATCACGGCAATCTTTGGAAATCAACGACAGTCCACAAAAATCTGAGCAATCCACAAAAATCCAAGCAATGACGGCAATCTCACAATCTTGGCAATCCGGTGTACACCCAAAAGGAGAGTTGAGGCCCCCTCGGCTTTAGCACCTTTTGGGCAAAGCCTTGCGCGGGTGGTCCAGACAGTGACAGCACAACAGAAGACATAGTGTGCTGCTCCAGCAAAGTAACATTGACTATGTAATCAAAGCGTATGCTCGCTAAACAAAAATCTTTATCGCTGGTGTCAGTAAACATAATTCGCCCGACGAGCGAAATTTACATGCAGATACGGCGAACGCGTCCACTACGACAGCAGAAAGTTTGTATCCTGAACGAACACTTTTAGTTATTCGAAAATCCACTAAACTGTTAGCTGTCCCAACTAACAATTTGTTTTCTCAACGAATCATTTTTTTCCGTGCGAGCCCAGAAGTTGAGCGTTCTAATCCCAGCACTGGTGACATGTTCGAACTTCCAAAGCTACCAAGGTGAACATAAAGCCATGTCGGAGTAGTCCATTGGCTTGAGAACATGTCAAATTTTTTAATGTCGTCGTAAAATACTAAAATACGTAAATTACTGTCTATCAGATATCTATACAACATCGACAGAAAGACGTCTACTAGATGTTCTAAATGTGGACACTCGATCAAATGTAGACGTCTAGTACGTGGTAGACACGATAAAATGTCTAATAGTCCACTGGGGGTCTACAAAGATGCATAAAAGACATCTAAGAGACGTCTTTTTTCCGTGTTGGGCTTTGTTATGGGTCTGCGCTACCCTACGCCACATCTTTTCTTCTTCTTACTTACTAGGCTCATCGCTCATATGTTGGCCCTAGCTTGTCAACTTCCTAATTTTCTAGGCGGCTGCCTCAAAGACGTTACGTTAGCTGACGGGGTACTCCGTTGGGAAGACCCGTTCAACGACTTGTTCACAACACACTACTACATCAACGCGACAAGAAAGTAAGTGGAATGATGTGTTTTGTGTGTGTATGTGAGTGTGTGTGTGTGAGAGAGAGAGAGAGAGAGAGAGAGAGAGAGAGAGAGAGAGAGATTTGATTTACTGTGCCTGCGAATGTTACATTAGGGCTAGAAATCCCCATTAATTTTTTGGCAATTATGAAGTACTACATTTAAAAGATAGCACAGCCAGGTAGGGTTTATCTACACAGGGTAGTGGAAAATTCAAAGTTGCCCTTATTGAAGACAAAACAGTAAGTAATAGCATAGAAAATTAACAGAGGGAGTTTAGTTTCCGCAGATAATAGTTGTATAGCTTTACTCTAAAAGCGTAAGTACAAGTGCGTATTTTCAAAGGCGCACCCAGAAAAATTGTTTCTTGATTCAAGTGCACGCTGACACAAAACGAAATAATAGGCAATATTATTGTCTTTGGAATAAGATTTTTCTCTTACTCGAAAGAAAATTTCAGCTCGTTTCAAGAGTAAATTTGATCTTGTGTCAGCGTGCACTTAAAACGAGGGAAAATTTACTGGGAAACAACCTAAGCTCGCGCTAACGTGGAAGCAGATGATACGACCTTATCGTTTGATGAATTAACGTTTCAGTTATCAACGTGGTAAAAGTGTTGTAGGAATTTAAATTAATAATTATTTAAATACTGCAAGACCACAATGTGGTCAGTCTGGCTGGTGGCCACAACGTGATAATTGTGAACCACGAGCAACGCTACCGATCTCAGGATGACCCAGTATTGTCACTAGCCAGAATGACCACATTGTGGTACTGGGTCATGGCTGGTGAACACAAAATGGTCATTGGTGACCACCGTCAACCCTCCCCTCTTATCCCACTCCTCCCAATAATAATAATATTTCTATAGGGCAATGGCACCCAATAATAATAATATTTTTATAGGACAATGGCACCCAATAATAATAATATTTTTATAGGGCAATGGCACAGTATTGTTGACAATACTGGGCCATGCTGGTTAGTGTCGATATTGTGGTCACTGGTGACCATCGTCAACGCTACCCATCTTACCCCGCTCCTCCTAAAGGTGGATTCAGAGTTCACAAGATGCGAGCGTGATTTTCACGCCGCTAGCGTGAAAAGAGTTGTTTTGGTTAGCAGTTGACTTTATGCAACAGCCAATAACAGGCCGACGTGGGGCTATGCCATTATTTTCAGCTGAATCAGCTTTGGAGCTAGCGTGATTTTCACGCAAGCGTCTGCTAGCAGCGTGATTTTCACGCAAGTTCGAAGGGACACTTGGGAGATATTCGAGAATGTGCACTTTCGAACTTGCGTGAAAATCACGCTGCTAGCAGACGCCTGCGTGAAAATCACGCTGCTAGCAGACGCTTGCGTGAAAATCACGCCGGAAGCGTGAAAAATCGCGCTAGCTCCAAAGCTGATTCAGCTGAAAATAATGGCATAGCCCCACGACGGCCTGTTATTGGCTGTGGCGTAAAGTCAACTGCTAACCAAAACAACTCTTTTCACGCTAGCGGCGTGAAAATCACGCTCGCATCTTGTGAACTCTGAATCCATCTTAATAATATTATTTTAAAAGGGCTATGCCTCAGTATTGTTGACAACACTGGCCCATGCTGGCTGGTGACCACAATGTGGTTATTGCTGACCATCGTCTACGCTACCCATTTAGCTGTTGTACAAGCAGTGATACTGGAAGTATCATCTGCTAAAAAAAAAAAACGATTTTTCTGGGTGCGGCCGCGGAAGCGATTTTATATAGGGGTATCGAAACGTAATAAGGATCGCAAATCATCAGTAATACGGATGAAATTGTTCGTATTACGTATAATTTGATCCTACAAGCATATGCCTTCATCTGTACTTAAGGTATGGAGGCAAGGTCCTCACTGATTAGAGCATTTTTGGAATACTTTTCTCCTTCCTCTTCCACGGACGACAGACCGGCAGACAGACGCACGCGAGAGCAGTTGCATAAGCCAATAGTAATATTAGCTGGATACGGGACTGCTAAAAACATTAGCTGGGGTAGCCAATACAAGTGGGCAGCGGCAGTTTGTCATTTAATCGCCATCATAGGTTTATTGTCGTAGGTCGTAGCTAATTCACGTCGTCTGGAAATTCGAAAAGAAGCCTGTGGGTGGCGAACCTATTAACAGAGGCATGACGAAAGCGCGACGACATCTTCTATTTTCTCGTGAGCCCGAACTGTCGCTCACGGCCCCCTTAATGACAACGAACGAGCGGGCGGGACTCGAACCCGGACCAGCCGGCCAGCCGGTGCAACTTTAGCGACGACGCCTCAGCCCACTCGGCCACCGCGCGCCTTGTCGATGGTCAGTTTGGATCGTGGACAACTTATCCATTGAGAAGCGGTACGATCCAGACACCGCCTTGTCTTCACACATAACAGAGTCATTTCTGGATGCTAAAATGAGTGTCGCTCCAGCTAATGCAAGAATTATTCGTGACGATAGATCAAGTATTGCTCGTACAAGTAACCACTTTATCTCTCAGAGGAGAGCGTGCTATTAGCCCGAAACGACAGTACGCCCTTGCCACAGCAACGAGTGCTGCAAAATCTCCAGTGGCTCTCAGCTAATATACCAATGCAGGCACAAGAAAAGGTCGACTTCCTCCTATAGCAATGACCGCGTCCCATTGAGTGAAGACTATTGGCTGTAAAAGCTAAAACTATATTGGCTGTCCCAAATCGAGCTAACACAGTAGCTCTGAGAGCTTAACTTTAGCTAAAACTGGAAATCATTTCTTTACGTGTAGCTCTTGACGTTGTATGGTGTTGGTAACTACAGGCAGCGGCAGCCCAGCTGCTGCACGAGTCCCACGCAGACCCTCTTGTTCGTCTCCAACTCTCCCTGCTGTGCTGGTCTGGACGAGCTCCTGCCTTCGGGTACAGCCTTCTTTCTAAAGGTCAAGACCGTCCAGCAAAACAACAACACTGTGTTCCTGCAGAGCGAGTCCGTGGACTACGAGACTCCCGAGCGAGAAGGTGAGTATGCGGATGGCTAAGCCTTGCCAGGCGTCCTCGACTGTGTGCGGTTTCGAGGGTGAAATACATGTTAAAACTGCTGACACCTTTCATTTGCCTATATTCTTATGTTTAGTCTGCACGGTTCTAGCTGTAAGGTATCATCCTCTAAACAATTGGTGAATTTACGCAAAAAATATTTAAAGGCCCTAGTCCACCGGCTGACTTTTCCCTCTCGGCCACCCCGTCGCCCAACAACACCGATCCGCTGCAGGTGAAGCTCTGCCCACCATGCGAGGCGCACGGCGACGTCCACGACTTCATCTTTTCTGCGGATAAACCCGACCTGCGCAAACGCATACACGACGTAGACATGACTGTCGACAAGGTATGGGGCTATGGACCGTCAGACGAACAGTCTAATATTTGAAACAAGTGAATACTGTACATTTTCTAGATCAAAGACACTTACTTTTCATTTAACAGTCCACAAAGAAATATTCGACGCATCCTACGAACAAATTTCTATCTCCCGGCGCGCCGTTCACGACTGTCCGATCTCCTTCTTGGGGTTTGCAGCGAGGCGAAAGTTTAAACGCCTCACGTCTGTTCGTCAAGATCATAGCATTTCACTACAAGCCCAATGTGTTGCGTAATCTTTTAGGATCACATAGAATTTATTAGTTTCCTTTTAGTGAATTATCAACAAAGATATCACGGTTTAAAGCCAACGGTGAAGTTAAAAGCTGAAAAGGAGATCGGACAGTGTTGAACGGCAGGCCCGGAGATCGAACTTTGTTCGTAGGATGCGTTGTATTACCCTTGATTCGAGATACACGATTCTTTGGTTCCTCTTTGGTAGCTCATGGCAAAAACCAGAGATTGGTTGTCAAGCTGAGGATACCGGCTTTAAGTAGTTTGAGTAAAATCAAGCATTGGCCTATCTTGCATCTTGAAAACCAGTATGTATGGTTGTTAAGCAGCTTTCCACCTCGCTTTTCACGTTTTCTAGGCTGCCTAGTTGCCTAGCTTGTTTTCCAAGAAATCCGGTTCGGATTTCAAGCTGGCCCCCTTCCTGAAAACGTCAGGTTGAAAGTCTGTGCGTGTGATATTCGGAACCGTACCGAAGTCGCGATGATAGGTTTTGGTCATTTTCGAAACAAATTCACCACCAACATGATCACGGGTCTAGCGCTCCGGCCGCGAGGCCAGGCAGGGTACCCGGCGTGGTAGACACTCTAGGGTACCTGACGTTTTTTACGCAGCGTCACGGGTAAAAGGACATGAGCCCAGCCAGATCTGAGCCCGGATCACTGTAGTCCCAACAAGTGACCGATATGAGCCCGACGTGAGTATAGATCGACGATTGGGACTAGGATCTACTATCATCCAGGCTCATATCGGGCACTGGTTGTGCGTGCAGTGGTCCGGGCTCAGATCTAGTCGGGCTCATGTCCTTATACCCAGCGTCACGGGGCGTAACGCTAAAATTGAAAATACAATACTTTGCTCTAGCGGCCCTTATATAGATCGCTCGGCGACCGGCTCTCTGCGAGAATGTAGCTAATTATGAATGCTACTGATACATGCAAACGAGCATCGGTGACATTTACTAGCAGCATGGGCAAAAGTCGGAAAAAAAACATACAGACCCCTTCCTTTATTTTGCTTATGCTGTGCCGCATGAAGGCGTGCGGGTGGGCTTGCCTACTGTCGTCGCTCCACACGGCGCCTTATGGCCCCGTGTGAGTATGCAACCCACCCGCACGCCTGCATGCGGTACAGTTTAAGCAAAATAAAGGAAGGGGTCTATGGACCACCCTGCATTAGTCGGTAAGTCATCTAACAGCAGTACACGAGACAGACTGCCAGATATTTCAGCTCAATTAGTTCTCAAGTTATCGTGCAGCAAACAAATTTATTTCATTTAAATATACACACTAAGGCACTAAACCCTTGTGTGTATTTTTTTGTGCATACACATGCAAACATGCATTTTAATCAGCCTAATCTGGCGTCTTTCCCTCAACCTGTGACGTACACTGTGTCCGCAGATGACAGGGATTCTGTCCTTAAACTTCTCCCAGTTGTTCCCCACGTTTAACTGGTGCCAGTGCGATGGGCAGAACGTCACCTTTCAGGTGACCGCCGCGAACGCAAAACTCAATAAGGTCTCCCAGCCACTCAATCTGACCGTGTTCGTGCCGCACCAGTGTGAGTTCAGAGTTGCGCCTATATACAACACAATAAACCGACTCTATCGTCGGAAATAAACTTTTTAAGTGTTTCCATTGGCCAGGCCCTACGCCGCCGGCTGCCGAGGATTTAAGCGACCGCATGCAACTTATTTACGGCGACGGGACTGCAACCACGGCAGTCCTCACCATCAGAGAGAGGCTCTTCGACTGGTCCATGGGGCGCCCGCGTGCCTACCGTCTGCTGGTTGCGCAGAAGGGGGAGGAGGTAATGCTACAGGCAAGAAATACACTAGATCTCTACTGAATGTGGGAATGTAGGCCACCCTACACTCACGTTTGCCGTGGCGTTCAGGCAGTGGTTAGCTCTCATCACGCCAGATAGGTAGGCAATATCTCGCCTGCAGTGCATGCGTGTACTGTGGGGTGGCATACCCTGAGTCTTGCAGGGGCTGGGCTCCCGTGTTTTACCGAAATGAAAATGAGAAAAACATACCTACTGCCTTGACGGTCCTTAAATATTTAAGAATAGGTACCCCAGTTCAGTGTTCAATTTCTTTTCGACCCCTTAAATCTAAAAGGTCGCAAGGGAAGCTGCGTCCCATGAGACTTGGACTTGGGGCCCCATGAGACTTTTGCGATGTATCAGAAAGTAAAAGTTGGATGCGCCGACAAAAAATTGGTTGTCAATCCTAGAGTGAACCATACTTTCAACCCCGACTTTGAAATTGTAAATTTCTCAACAATTTTGGCCTACAGGCCCGGAAATCCAAAAGTGTCTCATGAGACCCCAGCTTCCCTTACTTTAGATGGATTGCATGTAGGGTCGGATCTCGCTAGGCCCCTGTAATCGCTCTGCTGGAGTTGAAAACATTTACAGCCTTCGCTTTGCGCCGCACCCCGCGCCGGGTCATAATGAGCCGGCCGACCCCCACTTGAGCGGCAAGCTGCGTTGTGCCCTGCGCCCGCGCGCCCCAACCCCTGCCCTATAAGGGCTCATTCGACACCGCGCGCCACATGGCCCGTCCACTTGAGAAGTGGTCTCCAGTCTGATCAAATTTTAAATTTGAACCAGAACGCTCTGCAATATGATCATGCTTGTTTTCGCGCACATAGACATTACGAGCTCAGCAAAATTTGAATCGTGATTCATAATTTCACTGATAAACCAAGTGTGCAACTGCTCAACACTTGCAAGTGTGCAACCACAAGTTTAATACTTGCAAGTGTTCAATTCAGTAGTAGTAGACTAAGACTTGCAAGTGTTAAACTCGGCATTTGTGCACTTCTAAGCTGCAAGTTGAATACTTGCAACTCCGTAAGTTGTTTACAACGTTGGTGTAGTGAAAACTGGTGAAAACACTATAGGTATGACGTGTTGGTTGCACCAGTCCATGGGCGGTGGCTGCGGCGCGTCTAACGACACAATCCACATCTGGGCCATCGCCAACCAGTACCCGCGGGTAGCGCTGTACAGCCCCACGGACAGGGGCTGGAACCTCTTTCAAGGTATGGTCACAGGATACGAAGGGACTTCTAAGCGCTACATTACGCAATAGGGAGGCGTCCGAGGTGTCGGTTACCCTTCATACAGCTGGTGTTAGTGTGTTCTTTTTAAAAATTAATTTCACTCCTCAAAGGCGTAACTTCTAAACCACGTATCTGATTTCAAAGGAATTTGGGTACGTTGTATTTATAGGACATAAATGCTTCAAAGTTAGGTGCCATGCATGTCATGGCGTCAAATGAGGACACCTCGAAACGAAGTATTTAGGATAACCATTCTGGGTTGTTTGTTTTATTAAGAACCTAAAGCACGAACTCTGATACTGTATACCCGAGTATACCGCTGCCGACGCTGGACTAGCTTGGCTCCTTACAGGATTTTATGGTTCACGGTGAAAAAAGTCTCGTTTAATTAAGACCCAGTCTTGGATCTGCTGGAGAACGCCAATGGCATCCAAGACCAGGTCTTGAAATACTACAACAAACTACGTTTTTCGTGTTAAATCTTGACTTTAAGAAACACAGTGTTGTCAAATTATTTTTGTATTTTGTTGTTTGGATTTTTACTTGTCTTTGATTCTAAAACATTTGTGCCGAGCCCTCAACCTTTAGTTGTTCAGATCGCTTAGGGGCCAAGCCAAGAGCAGCGGAATGTGACCGGCCGTGAAAGGTGACACTACAATACTCCGTTGAGACTGAGAGCCCGAGCCCCAATGGAGTCTTAATAACTAGCTATATGTACGCCAGACCACATCTCGCGTAAGAGGCTTCGCGATATCTCACGAAACACTGTTACGCTGCGACGCGCCTGGCGCACATATAGCTAGGCCTGCGGCGCTGACACCCCAGACGAGTTAAATTTTACGATTTAATAGACCATTTTGTCGTTTTCACCTTATTTTCGCCAAGAAATGCTCCCTAGCACCCAAACGGTGCGAGATAGATCAAAACGGACCAAATTTTCGCCCGAAGGGTTCTACTTTCACGAGTTACCCCTTAGAAGCCCATAAAAATATAATTGAAAAAAATAAATATTTTGCAACCTGTGGTTTTTGATTTTTTAAAAAGCCAAATTTTGAGCTAGAATGCTCATCTTCGAACTCGATCTGTCTTTTTATGATACAAAACGAACCTGAAAATCCCAGGTCGCTATCTCAATTCATTCTCGAGTTATCGTGCGGACAGACAGACAAACAGACAAACAAACAAACATACAAACAAACAGAATGAAACTTTTCCGGTCAGTGGAGTAATGGGCTTCGCTAATCGCTCAGCCAATTATTGGCCCCTCCCTCTTTCCAGAAGCACCGTAATGTGTACTAAAGTACACTCTAAATGTCTCAGGACAATTATAACTAGCACCGGGCTTCTGTGCATTATTCAGTGCAGATACAATATTGTATTGACAGAAGTCCGGCTCTATAGTTTCAAGAATTATCCTCAGACATTTAGAATGAATTAATTCGTCCCATGTGTCAAGGCTACGACACAACAGTATGCTACGTACGTTGCCTACTCGATCTACCCATAAGGCGCCATGGCCTCTAGGGTATGCGAACCTGCAACACAGTTGTGTCGTAGCCATGACACACTGTTCTTTAAAGTGATAGCCCCCTCGCCTCCATCGTCCTTAAATCAGTTGCCTCTCTTCAGATCCCAGCTGCGACGCCTCGGGGACGTGCAGCTACAGCTACACCATTGGCAAGGACCAATGTCCCTTGTACGAGACCAATACGTTTTGCAACGGGCCGCTGCGCGCTGGTACCACCTACATGATCTGCCTCCGGGCCCAGTACGACAGCGAGGGACTCTTCTACATCGAAACACCTCCCTTGTACTTAAGTGGTATGGCCTGGTGTGCTACTTAATCACTTCAAGCAAAATGGATAGCAATAAGGGCCAGATACAGGAATAAATCAAAGGCCGACAAGGCAGATCACAATTAATAGTCAGTTTTAATATGCATAAAAGTAAGTGGGAAAGTGATATGCCCATTGCCCACTGGGAACTCGATATCGAATCGATATCGAAACAATATCAGTTATTAGAAAGGTGTACTTGAGGACAACGTTAAGACCGATATGACACGACCATCGACATAATGTTATGGTATATCCATAACCAGCCTATAATCGTTCCAATTTCACCACATGCACTGTAATTTTCTTACAAAGAACTGCTCTTTGTAACGTACAAAGGATTTCGCACATTTTTAATACAAGAAAATTCCGAAGGGCTCGGCTTCATAGGCTGTCACCTAAAGAAAAATAATAGATAATAGATCCATTTCAGGAAGGTTATTTATGCTGTTTGATCGTGGTTTATTCCACTAAAGTAGCATTTATTACAAAATATGTTCATTGAAACATTTTCGAAATGGCAGATGGCAAGAGAAACCTGTGGAAGATAGATCTGCTATCTGTTATTTGTTATCTGTTATCTTTCTTAAGGTGATTCAGCCATAATATTAAGAGTATGTGTCTGTTAACATGTGGCGCTCTTTGTAATACGTAAAAATCCATTTGTTATACATGGTAGTCCGACACAAGTAAAAACAGTTCCTCGATGTTCAAAGACCAAGACACCGATTTAAGGACGCCCCACGTATTTTTCCCTAACCCCGTCTTTAAATTGGTGTCTTGGTCCTTGGATATCAAGGACCGGTTTTTACCGTCCAGATCTATTTAAACGAACCCGTTAGGGTCGTCTGGATAACAGCCCAACAATGAACACATTGCTCTCTGAGTAGCCGGTTCCTCGCGCGCGCCGCACGCTGCCCAGCGCTTACGCTAAGAATAGTTTTCAATTATAAAACATAGTGCAGAAAGATATCTCGCAAAAAACAGCATCAGCTACATTGGATACAACAAACAAAAGTGACTAAATTTTCTTAACCGTGGGATCGTTTAGAAGTTAAGAAGAATTGTTAACGTTTTTACGTTACAAACGCAATTCGTCTTAAGACTGCTCTTT